GAGGCGGGGTGGCCAAACCCGGGCAAAACATGCTCAAAAATGATCGTCCCCCGACTATATTTTGACTATTTCTGCATGTTTCCCCTGTAGAGGGGCAGGCCCGACTTGAGCCTTGACTCCGCCCTGCCTCTCCTCCACCTCTGTCTGCGGTACCTCCCGGCGCCGCTGGGAGGGCCCGGCCCACGCGTGCCCCGTGCGCGGGCTTGCCCACTGCTCGGCACGCCGGGGGCCTCAGCGGCGGACCCCGCTCGCGGCCCCCCCCCCGAGCGGGCGCACCCCGCTTCTTGCTTTCGAGGCCGCTGCCCGACCTGCCGACTGCCTACCAAACCACCCCAACCCGACCCGAAGGCCCGAAGTTCGCCCGCATTTCGGGTTGGGGGGGGGGGGCGGGCTCCATGCCATGTGTGCTTGTTCAATGGTCCCCGACTCCCCCCCGCTGGACATGGAGGGCAAATCGGGGCCTGCGGGTTGGGTTGGGCGGTGAACTGCGGTCCATGCCTCTCAATTTGGCCGGCGTCTCCCCGCAAAGCTGCCCTGGCCCTTGCCCACCACGTGCGGCTCTGTCCGCCTCGTCTCACCCAGCCAACGGATCGCCAAAGACGGCCTCGCCGAGCGGATCGTCGGTCGCGTGCCGCCTCGCCCCGCGTGCCGCGTCGACCACCCGCGTGGCTCCTCACCTGCTGGGCAACGCCACTGTTTCAGCTACACGCAGCAAACACAACCCTAGGCAAAAGTGACCTTCGGTGCGCGGCTTAACGGGGGACGCGGGGTGGCCAAACCTGGGCGCGCAAGCCGCTGCTGCCGCTCCGCACTCAGCCGTCTGGGGGCCCATCTGCGCCCGCACAACAGGCCATTACGGCGGAAAGCCACTCTAGTCGACTGTCCTGCTCTTCTCGCCTCTGCTTCCGTCAACGGCCTGCAGCGGGCCCATGCTGCACCGTCTCGCCCGGCGGGCGGATCGCCAGCGACGGCCTCGCCGAGAGCATCGTCGGCCGCCCGCCGCGGCGGCCCTCCTCCGCCCCGGCCCTGGGCCGAGGCATGCCGCCTCGGCCTGCCCTTCTGCCCTCTTCCCCTCCTGGCCTGCTTCTGGCTGCTGGTCCCCGCTCGCGCCCCGAGTGGCCGGCGCTCCACCAGCGACGTCCTCGCCGTGCTGCTCGCCGCCGCGCGCGAAGCGCCGCCCCACGCCGGCGCGCGCTCCCTTTGCTCCCATATGTGGCTCGCCGACCACCGGTGACGCCCTCGCCGTGCCAATCGCCCGCCGATGCGGTGTGCGGCCTCGCCCCCCCCCGCGCGTCTGCTCTCCTGCCTCGTGCCGGCGCCCCTCTGCGCCCTGGTGCCCCGCCCGCCTCGACCTCTCTCGCCGCTCGTTTGCGGCCTCCCCCGGCTGCCGCCCGCCGGCAGCTGCATGCAGGGTGCACGGCCGCCGAGCCCTTCCCCGGGGATGGCGTCTCGCCCCGGGTCCACCAATGATGGCCTCTGGGCCCGAGGGCGGGCCCCTGAGGCCGAGCTCCAGGAACAAAACACCGCCTGGCTGAAGCACAGCACAGCCTCGGCTCTCTGGGCCCCCTGCGGCGCTCAGAACCCCTCCCTGCTGCCGCTGGTCGGGGTGGCTGGCGTCCTGGCTCGCAGCGGCTCTGCTGCCCCCGCCCCTCCGCCCCGCCCCTTCTGGGCGCGCGCCCAACGTCAGGTCGGGCATGTCCCCCTACAGGCGGATTTTCGAGGAAGAAGGACAAGTGGTGAGAAAAAACATACGCGCTAACTGTCAAAACTCAACAATAAGCAACACATCGTCCCCGGACTACATGTGATTCTTTGGGGATATTCCGTCCTGATAAGGGGGACACGCCCGACTTACCACACGGCGGCCTCGCCCGGGGCGGCCCGCCCCGCCCCGCTGCGGCCCGCTTGCCGCATGCCCGCCGCTGCTCCCCCGCGGCCCGCCGCTGCCGCGCTGGGGGCCTGGCCTCCGTGCTTCCTCTGCTGGCGCACGCGCGCGCCTGCAGTGCGCCCCTCGACGTGGTGGCCCCCGGCTCGAAGCTCGAAGTGGAAGTCGAGTGAGCCCAATCGCCTCACGAAAGTGGAGCGACTGGGACTCAGGGCCGCCGGCTCCGGCAGCAGAGCCGCGACTCCCAGCTGGGGTCAGCAGCGGCCGCGCAGCCGAAGGGCTGCCCTCCCTCCCGGGGCGCCCTTGGCGGAGGTTGAGGTGGCAGCTGCATTCCGCCCATAGGCGGCGGCAGCGGCCAGGCCTGGCGGAGGTGGAGGAGCGCCCGCACGGCGCGCCGCCCGGGGCTGGGGGCGGCTGAGTGCGCGCGGGCGCGCGCGTTCCCTCGTTTCCCGTCGCTCCCCCCGTCGTTCCCTCCCCCGTCCCGCCCTGTCGTTTGTCTGTCGCCTGTCGCTCGTCTGCTGTCGTGTCGTGCCTCTGGGCTCCGCCTGCGCTGGTACAAAAAAAAGTGCGTGTGTGCGTGTGTGCGTGTGTGCGTGTGTGTGCGTGTGTGTGCGTGTGTGTGTGTGTGTGTGTGTGTGTGTGTGTGTGTGTGTGTGTGTGTGTGTTTGTGTGTGTTTGTGTGTGTTTGTGTGTTTATGTGCGTGCGTGCGTGCGTGCGTGCGTGCGTGCGTGCGTGCGTGCGTGCGTGCGTGCGTGCGTGCGTGCGTGCGTGCGTGAGTGTGTGTGTGTGTGTGTGTGTGTGTGTGTGTGTGTGTGTGTGTGTGTGTGTGTGTGTGTGTGTGTGTGTGTGTGAAAGGGTGTGTGTGTGTGTGTGAAAGGGTGTGTGTGTGTGTGTGTGAGAGGGTGTGTGTATGTGGGTCGGTGACGGGTCGGGTCACCCCTGCGCCTGCGCCGAGGCGTTGAATCAGAAAACTGGCACACACACACACGTCACTCACCTCTCCTCCTCCTCCTCCTCCTCCCCTCTCCTCCTCCTCCTCCTCTCCTCCTCCTCCCTCCTCCTCTCCCCTCCCCCTCCCCCCTCCTCTCCTCCACAATTACTCAATATGAATACTACTCTCCCTCTTCCCCTGATGACGGCCTGGAAAGTGTCCGACCCCCCCCCGCGTACTGTTTTTTACACACAGGTTTCCCCGGAGTTGGGTTTTCGCTTGCATTTGTTTCCAAAATGCTGCTCTCGCTGAGGCGCCGGCCTCATTTTCGGGCCCCGCTCGTTCCGAATCGTGCTCCCGCTGCAGCGCTGGCCTCATTTCCGTGCTTCCGCTCGTTCCGAATCGTGCTCCCGCTGCAGCGCTGGCCTCATTTCCGCGCTTCCGCTCGTTTCGACTCGTGCTCCCGCTGCAGCGCTGGCGTCATTTTCCCGTGCCATGCCACGGCATGCAATGCAATGCTAGGTTGATGCTACGCTTTGCGGTGCTCTTCTACGCCATGCCATGCCGTGCTCTACAATGCATCGCGTACCCTTTCGGGATCATTGCCCTGCTCGACATCCGACTGTGCGAGTAGAGAGGGGATCTACGCCATGGTAAGGGATGGGAGGGAGGGGTAGGATGTCAGATATGACGCGAGCGCTCCTAGCTTGCCCTTCCCCCCCTCCCCCTCGTCCTCGTCCTCATCCTCCTCCTCCCCCTCCTCCTCCTCTTCCTCGTGGCCGCCCCTCCCCCGTGCCCGCTCTTCTTGTATGGTGGGCGCCCTATTTTGTGCTTTCGTCGCAGTCCGCCTGCAGCCCAGCGACGGAGGAGTCGTGGGAGCGCACAGCCCTTGACAACTCGTCGTCGTGCCGTCGTAAAAAAATCAGGACGGGACCTGAGCCCAGACATCGGGCGTCTCGAAAAAATCGAGACGGAGGTTTTTCATCGTTTTCGGGCTCTGGATGCGCTCGCCGGGCCTCGGGACCGTCAAAAAACGACCCGGGACGAGAAACCGGTCCTGGGGAAGTGGTCGGGAGGTCGGGAGCCCGTCTCGAAAAAATCGAGACGTCGGATGTCTGGGGATCGCGTCGTACAGAAATCAGGACGGGACCCGAGCTGCCCCGATACGCAACGCGCAACACGTAGCATATATTGATGCGGAGCTCAGCACGTAGACTGAGCGCGTACCCAGAGATCCGATGTCGCGTTTTTTTCGATGCGGGGTTCCCGGCCGGAAGTCCCGACCCTTTCCCCGGGACCTGTTTTTCATCCCGCATCGTTTTTGTTGACGGTCCCGAGGCCCGGCGAGGGCCCCGAGAGGCCCAAAGCCGCGAAAAACCTCCGCCTTGTTTTTTGCTCAATACGTGGGATCTCTGGGACGTCTTGAGCACGGCACGCGTTGCGTTTCAGAGCGTGCGCCTCCGAGCAGCTCAGGCCGGGAGGGTTGTTTTGGCCATTTTCGGCCTCGGGCGGCGCTCGCCGGGCCTGCGGCCGTCAGGGCACGGCGCGGGCTGAAGCGCCGGTCTCGTGGGGAGAGGGTCGGGGCTTCCAGGGGCCCCGCGTGGGAAAACTCGGGGCGTCGCATGCCCAGAGGTCCAACGCACTGAACAAAATCAAGACGGAGGTTGTTCTAAATGGTTGGCTTCTGGCCGGGGGCCCTCGCTGGGCCCCGGGGCCGTCAACAGAAACGACTCGGGATGAAAAACCGGTCCTGGGGAATGGGTCGAGACTTCTGGGGACCCCGCATGGAACACAAAAAAACACGACATCGGATCTCTGGGTGTCTGGGTCTGCTTCCGCAGATTTCGCGGGCTGCGGAGGTGCACCGCTCGATTGGTGGTGATTCGCACGGCGTTGCAGCCCCGGGAGGCTGGGGGCCACACGCTGGAAGGCGGTCGGGGAACATGGCATGTGCTGTCAGCTTCCTCTCCCGTGGCCCAGGCAGGTACAACTGGGAAGAGTGAGCGTGTGTGTGTGTGTGTGTGTGTGTGGTGTGTGTGCGTGTGTGCGCGCCTACGTGGTGTGTTAGATATAAGCTCATCAACTCACTTTCTGCTGTAGGTCCACCGCCATGATTGCAGCGGTGTGTGTGTGTGTGTGTGCGTGTGACCCCTCCCAAGCGACTCCAGCTCCCTTCCCACCCACCCCCTTCCCCCAGGTGCCCATCCGAGAGCGCGGGGATGCAGCTGGATAGAGAAGCCCTCGCATGCAAGGTGCCGAAACCACTTTGGGCGAGGCCACCTTGAGAAGTGGGCCTGACTTCAAACAATGGCAGTGCGCTGGTTCGCGCTGCCATGGCACGGGCAAAAGCTGAATGGCTCTAGGCTTTGCCCGGGCACGCAGGTCCTTGGACGCACCGTTCAGTGCGAAAAGTGAGACTGGCCCAGGGCTCACCTTGGCACAACTCTCCAGCAACAGCAGGGCGACCAGAAAGCGAACACAAAAAATCCTCGCCAACTTTCAGCGGCGAACGAGGGGGGGAAGTGGGAAGGAGAAGGCCTTCTCAGAAGGCGGCAGGGCTTCTGAGAAGCCCTCTGGCCTTCTGGGACATTTTCTGTGTCTCTGGCCAAGGCGTACAACACCTCTCTGGAAGTCCGAACACTTCCGAGCCATCTGAGAAGGCCCGCCCCCTCTCACTTCCCCACCCGAGCTCGCCGTCGAAACTGAAAACCCCGAGATCCGACGCCGCGATTTTTTCAATGCGGGGTCCCCAGAAATCTCGCCCCATTCCCCAGGACCGGTTTTTCATCCTGAGTCGTTTTTTGACGGTCCCGGGGCCCAGCGAGGGCCCCTAGAGGCCAAAAACTTCGAAACACCTCCGTCTTGATTTTGTCAATGCGTTGGATCTCTGGAAAAACAACTGTGGCGCACCCCTAATCTATCGCAAAGCCCCTGCTCAGCGTGCTCTGGTCGGCGTCGATCCAGCAACTCTGCACGACCGGCGCCCTGTCCAGGTCGAAGATGTCGTCCGCCGGCGTGCGGCTTTCATGGGTCCGCCTCGGCTGCACGCATAGGGGTGGCGCTGAGCACCCCAGAGAGAGCCTCTCATAGGAGGCCCAAAAAGGGGAAAGCGGACGAAAGGCAGCGGTGAATCGGTACCCAAGCATGCGACGTCCTGGTGTTTTCAGGACGGCGTCCCCGGAAGTCTAGACCCCTTCCCCGGGGCCGGTTTTGCATCCCGACTTGAATCATGTTTGGACGGCCCTGGGGACCGGCGAAAGCCCCCCGGGGCCGAAATTTGTCAAAAACCGCCCGTCCGGATTATTTTATGACGCGACCCAGACATCCGACGTCTCGATTTGTTCGAGCCATGGGCCCCCGGCCTCCCGACCACTTCCCCGGGACGGGTTTTTCGCCCCGGGTCGTTTTTTGACGGTCCCGAGGCCAGGCGAGGGCCCCGAGAGGCCGAAAACGACGAAAAACATCCGCCTCGATGTTTTCGAGACGCCCGATGTCTGGGTGAAGTATTTTTAATTCTTTATTCAAAATCTCCTTGTAGGGGGACAGGCCCGACTTAATCCTTGCCCCGGCCCCGAGAGGCCGAAAACGACGAAAAGCCTCCGTCTCGACTTTTTCGAGGCGCCCGGTGTCCGGGGACGCGATCGCGCCTGGGTGCGCCACGATGGCCCTTCGCCGGGGCGACCCTTGGCTGAAGTCGGGCCTGTCCCTCTACAGGAGGGATGTTCAAAAATAGTTTAAAAAATATGGGGACGATGTTTTGACTACTTTGTTGAGCATTTCGGGGGGTATGTTTTAAGGTATTTCTATTTCTTCAACAACAAAAATCCCCTGTAAGAGGGCCTCCTCCGACCTCCTGGGGCAAGGGTTAAGTCGGCCTCTCGGGGCCGGGGCAAGGGTTAAGTCGGGCCTGTCCCCCTACAAGGGGATTTTGGACGAAAAATTAAAAATACCCCACCCAGACATCGGGCGTCTCGAAAACATCGAGGCGGATTTTTGTTCGTCGTTTTCGGCCTCTCGGGGCCCTCGCCGGGCTCCGGGACCGTCCCAAAACGACTCGGGGCGAAAAACCCGTCCTGGGGAAGTGGGCGGGAGGCTGGGGACCCATGGCTCGAAAAAATCGAGACGTCGGGTGTCTGGGCAACAATACCCTAAAAATGCAAAAAAATGCTCAAGACATATAGGCCCCAGACTATTTTTTCTTCCTGTGTTTGAATATTCCCCCTGTGGAGGGACAGGCCCAGCTTACGGCAAGGGCGCGGGCATTGCTCCCGGGAGAGGGCCGCCGCGGCCTCTCGAGCCGGCCCTCCGGCGGAGGCCCGCGCACCGAGGGGGCACCCCGGCGAAGGGCCGCTCTTGCGCGTAGTCCCGGCGGCGCGCGCAGGCCCAGAGACCCGACGTCGTGATTTTTTTGTCGGGAGCGGCCAAGAAGGGGGGTGTCCGAGAGGAGGGGGTCCAAATCATGAGGAGGAGGCGGAGGAGGAGAAGGAGGAGGAGGAGGAGGAGGAGGAACGGGTGAACCAACCAAGAGGAGGAGGGAGGAGGAGGAGGAGGAGGAGGAGGAGGAGGAGGAGGAGGAGGAGGAGGAGGAGGAGGAGGTGGAGGAGGAGGAGGAGGAGGAGGAAGATCGGGAGCGGCCAAGAGGGGGGTGTCCAAGAGGGGGGGGGGTGCAAATCATGACTGGCGGCATGCGCGCGGCCCAGCGGGGGGGCCAGGGACGTCATGAAATGAGAAGAGGCGCCATGAAAGCTGGGGAAGTATCATGGCCCACGCCATGATATCCCCTCCCCCTAGTCAGCACCCCCCTCTTTGCCGCCCCCGATTTTTTCAATACGGGGTCCCTGGAAGTCTCGACCCATTCCCCAGGACTGGTTTTTCGTCCCGAATGGTTTTTGACGGTCCCGGAGGGCCCCCAGAGGCAAAAAAACAGCGAAAAAACTCCGTCTTGTTTTTTCAATATGTTGGATCTTTGGCGGGTGGTGCACCGAGGTCGGGCCTGTCCCCCTGCAGATACCCCCAAAATGCCCCCAAAATGCTCAAAAATATTCCGGGGAAAGGGTCGAGACTGCCGGGGGCCCCGTATTGAAAAAATCATGACGTCGGATCTCTGGGAAGGAGGCTGCTTCTTCGAAGGCGCCGGCCTCACGTCTACAGAGCAGGCCCGTGCCTTCTAAGACGCAGGGGTGCTTATAAGAAGCCCGCCCCCTCCCCCCCCCTCTGCGCGTGGCTGATAATCACCCGGTCGGGCCTATCCCTCTTACAAGAAGATTTGTTGTTGAACAAATAGAAGAAAACCTTGAAACATGTTCCCCAAATGCTCAAAAGTAGTCAAAACATCGCCCCCATATGTTTTTTTTTGTTGACTATTTTTGAATATCCCTCCTGTAGAGGGACAGGCCCGACTTCAGCCAAGGGTCGCCCCGGCGAAGGGCCACCCTGGCGCACCCAGGCGCGATCACGTCGTAACAAAAATCAGGACGGGAGGTTTTTGGCCGCTTTCGGCCCCACGGGGGGGCCTCGCCGGGCCTCGGGAGCGTCAACAAAAAGGTTCGGAACGAAAGACCAGTCCCGGTGAAAGGGTCGGGGCTATAAAATCAGGACGACAGGCTTTTGGCCGTTTTCGGCCCCAGGGGTCCCTCGCTGGGCCTTGGGACCGTCAACAAAAAGACTCAGGAGGAAAAGCCGGTCACGGGGAAGTGGTCGGGAGGTCGGGTGAAAAAATCAAGCTGGAGGTTTTTCTAAATTTTTGGACTCTAGGGGCCCTCGCTGGGCCTCGGGAGCGTCGACAAAAAGACTCAGGACGAAACACCGGTCCCTGGTGAAAGGGTCGGGACTTCCAGGGGCGCCGTGCTGAAACAATCGGGACGTGGCATGTCTGGGAGCACATCCGAGGAGAACAACGATCGTGTTGGGAGGATGGGGAGGATGGGCATTCGGAGGAGGAAGGGCACGCGCCGGAGGCAATGAACGACACCTTCGGCCGCCTACGAGTAAGGAGATCCTCATTCCCAGACCCCCGACGTCATGATTTTTTCATGACGCGACCCCCAGAGGTCCGGACCCATTCCCCGGGACCGGCTTTTCATCCTGAGTCGTTTTTTGACGGGCCTGAGGGCCGGTAAGGGCCCCCGGAAGCCGAAAATAGCTAAAAACCTCGCGTCGTGATTTTTTCATGACTCGAGGGGGTCTGGGTACGAGTAAGGAGATCCTCATTTCTCCCAGCCCCATCCCCCCAGCCCGATAACTCTCTTCCCGAATATCCGTATCGTGACGCCCGGGTGCTGGGGCCCGACCCCGTGGGCACGCGGGCGCACATAGGATCAGGTCGGGCACGTCCTCCTACAGGCGGGTTTTGGACGAACAAAAAAATATAGCCAGACCATAGTCAAACATAGTAGTAGAACAATGGTCCCCCTACAATTTTTATTGGAGTATTTTTGAACATTCCCCCCTATAGAGGAACACGCCCGGCTTTAAGCATATAGGGGTGCGATCCAGGCGGGGCATCCGCGACGAAAGGCGCCCCGCATCCACGAGGGGTCGTGTCCAGGGATCCAGCCGCGAGGCCGCGTGTGTGCTTGTGCTTCCCGCCCAGGAGGAGGAGGAGAAGGAGGAGGAGGAGGAGGAGGAGGAGCACGAGGAGGAGGAGAGGAGGAGGAGTTGGAGGAGGAGGAGGAGGAGTTGGAGGAGGAGGAGGAGGAGGAGGAGAAAGGGAAGGAGGAGGAGGAAGAGGAGGAGGAGGAGGAGAGGAGGAGGAGGAGAAGGATGAGGATGAGATGAGGAGGAGGAAGAGGAGGAGGAGGAGGAGGAGGAGGGAGAAGAGGAGGAGGAGGAGAAGCACGAGGAGGAGGAGAGGAGGAGGAGGAGGAGAAGGAGGAGGAGGAGAAGGAGAAGGAAGGGAATGAGGAGGAGGAGGAGAAGGAGGAGAGGAGAAGATGATGATGATGATGATGATGATGATGATGATGATGATGATGATGATGAGGAGGAGGAGGAGGAGGAGGAGGAGGAGGAGGAGGGAGAAGAGGAGGAGGAGGAGGAGGAGGAGGAGGAGGAGAGGAGGAGGAGGAGGAGGAGGAGGAGGAGGAGGAGGAGGAGGAGGAGGAGGAGGGGAGGAGGAGGAGGAGGAGGAGGAGGAGGAGGTGCGATGTAATGGAGCGCAGAAAGACATGCCAGTACGATATGTCCTCCTTGGAGGCGCCTTCGTCCGACCCGAACACATGCCCATCTTGTAGTAGATCGTTTCCCGAGCGGTGTGGCAAGAAAGCGCCAGCCACGACGCACATACTATACGATTTCTCGGTGCTCGCGTCGCATCTGGGCGGGTGGCGACGCACACATAGTATCAGCATGTTGGGGCTACGCCGATGTAGCCCGACCGCCGTGAGGCGGGGGCGAACGACGAGCGCATCCCGTCCAAAATCGACTGCCGCGGGTCTCGGGGCTCCCGAAACCGTGTGATGACAGACCGTGCGGTGACCTTGGAACCCAAGAGACCTCACTGCACGGTCCGTCACCGCACGGTCTTGGGACCCCGGAGGCCCCTGTCGCCCAAGACATCCTCGGAGAGGGACTCGAGTCCCAAAACCGTGCGGTGACCCCGAATCCCCACCGACTCAACACACGGCGTGGTCACCACACCGTCTGGGGGCCTCCGAAAGGCGCTCTGCTCGGCATCCTGCGCTGGCCGCCAGTAGAGCTCCTCAAGAGGCCCCCCACACTGGGCCCCCGCGGGTGGTGTCGGAACATCGCGCCGCCTCGCCGCTGCAACGCCCGATGCTTTGGCGATGCCTCGGCGACGCCGGCGATGCATCGGCAGCGGCGCCGGCGTGGAGAAGGTCGGGCTCCACATCGAGCCTCGGAGCCGAGCGAGTTGAGACACTTGCCGCTCAAAATCGGTCCCCCAACCCCCTCATGGAGTGCAAACGCACTTGTTTTCCGAGCTGCGTCCAGCCGTGGCGACGAGGGGGCCCCCAGAAGGCCAATTGCAGTTGTCTCTGCTGGCCCTCCTCTGAGCCACACCGAGCCACATCCCCGACGCATTGGCGATGCGGCGCGACCTTCCGACCCCACCTGCTCGGACCCCTCTTGGGGGGCCTGGATCCTCGTTGTAAAGCTCCAAGCTCTTCGGGCCGACGGCCTTCGGCGGACCGACGACCGCGACCACGACGATGACGACGACGACGGCGACGACGACGGCGTCGACGGCGGCGCCGACGGCCACGACAAGGCCCACGACGGCGGCGGCGGGAGCCACGACGGCGAGGCCCACGACGACGGCGAGGCTCGCGACGACGACGGCGAGGCCCACGGCGACGACGGGGCCCTGAGGAGATCCCCGAGGGGCAGCGCGTCGAGCTCGTGCTCGCCGAGCATGTGGCTGCTGTCGCGCCAGACCCTCACCTCGTCTCGGTGCACCATGGCCAGGAAGTCGTGGTGGTGCACGCCCTCGGCCCCAGCCCCGGCCGCCTCCCACGCCGTGGACATGTCCTGGCCGAGCTCGGCACCCAGGAAGGTGCTTTGCGCTCAGAGGGGGGGGGCCTCGCCTCGCCTCTTGATTATGCTCGCCCGGTCGCCACAGGATGCGCCAATGGATTGCGCCCATCGGTTGCACGCTCGCGCCTAAGAGCTCCTTGCGGCAGGTTCCCCCCCCCTGAGCTGCGCGCGCGGGTTGAGCCCGCAGGTTGCGCGCTCTCGCCCAGGAAAGGACACCCACCAGCCCTTTAGGGCGTAGTTCCCCTCCAGGGAGGGGTTTATCACTGTTCCCTATTAGTACAAACCCCCTCGCCCACCCAGCCGGCAGCCAACCCGGAACCATGCCGACCCCATGCGGGCCCCCCCAACCACCCCTGTCAAAAAACAATGCAAACTACACTTTGGGGCAAATTCTGGAGTCATGTTCGTTGTGCCCGCGAACACTTCGTATTGTTTTTGTCAGGGACGGCGGGGGTGTAAGCATATTCCCTGCTGCGCGCAGGGCTACCATTCCTGATAACAAACAATGCAACATGCACTCGCGGCTAAATCGGGATCATACGCGGCCACCCCGCGGTCACTGTCAAGTGGTTAGTGACAGGGGCGGCGGGGGTGGTGGCGCGTGGCCTGCTGTGCGCAGGCCCACCAGACATAATGATAGACATCGGATTTCGACAAGGATGGTGGGGGCCGACATGTTTCCCGATGTGTGCTGTCACGTGCGCCGGCGCACCTGACGCACTCTGCGCGTGCCCCGAAAGCGGCGCACCTGGCGCGGCTGGAGTGTGCGGCACACCTGGCGTGCCCGGGGCTCGTGGCGCATCTGGCGCACCAGGCGTGCCTGGCACGCTCGGGCCCCAGGGGCGCCCCTCGCACGCGTGACGCACCTCGCCCAAACGTCGCGCACCTGGGGCCGGCTTTGGTTCCCAGTAGCTGTCCATCCAAAGACGACCGCTGAGCATGCTCAGGCTTGGGTGTTACTTGTGCGTAGGGAAGGCGAGTGGGAGTGAGCTGAACGGCTTGCGGGCGGGTGGGTAGCTTGACCCCTCCCCCTGCCCCTTCCCCTGGACCTGGACGGGGCCGGTCGCGAGGTGTCAGGGCGTCCGGGCGTCCAAAACGGCCTCGGAGAGGAAACCCAAATCATTTGTTTTACTACAGTTTTGGGCCCATTGTGGCCTCCTGGGGGGGCACGCTAATTAAAGCTCCCCTCTTGTTTGATCGATGTCCTCCAAGATGGCCCCAAGAGCGCTCCCAAGGCTCCCAAGAGCGCTTCAGTAACCCTGAGGTTCCCAGGATCTAGAATCTAGATCCTGTAGTTAAGATAGCATGAAAATAGATCCACATTTTAAAAGTAGATCCGGACAGGAAAAGTAGATCCACACCATATCAAATAGATCCACATCGTATCAACTAGATCCACAGCATCTCAACATGATATCATCATATTTAAACTAATTCGCAACAGTGCAAACATCATTGCCAACGCATCGATCGTAGTTTTCAAGCAGCTATACGCTTGGTTCCCCATGAAGTCGGAAGGCGGATCAGGAGAGAGCGTACTTACAGTTGCCTGCGGTTTGTTCTGTCAATCGGCTCTTCGATGCACCTTCTGCGGCGGAGTTGCATACTGAATGATTTCAGTCACCACCCTCGCACCCTCACTTCCCCTCTCCCCTCCTTCTCCTCCTCCTCCTCCTCCTCCTCCTCCTCGTCCTTCCTTCTCTTTCCTCCTCTCTCCTCCTTGCCCTCTTCTTCTTATCCTCCTCCTCCTCCTCTTTCCCTCCTCCTCCTCCTCCTCCTCCTCCCACGGGTGGTGGTCGTCAGCTGGAGTCGGTAGATCGCCTGCGCCAGGGTCAACGGGGCCAGGAGAAGGCATGGCTGGGATTGGTGGGGGGGCGAGCGAGCGGGATGACGAGCACATTTGGGAAATAGAGGGGGCAAAGATCGGCAATGAGGCGCGAGGGTCAGGAATATCGCAAGAGAGGACGGCCGCCTTCTGCGTAGTGGAGGCGGAAGCGAGGAGGATAAAGAGCTTGAGGAGGAGAAGGAGGAGGAGGAGAAGGAGGAGGAGGAGGAGGAGGACGGGAGGGAATGACATGAGGAGAGGGAGCGAGGGAAGAGGAGGAGTTAGAGACAGAGAACGAGGAGGAGGAGGAGGAGGAGGAGGAGGAGGAGGAGGAGGATGGGCGCGGCGAGAGCGGCCTGCCATGCGCACAGGTTGGGCTCGAGCGACCACTGGGGCCCCCGAGCTTCAGGTCGAGCGACGTCGCGCGAGAGCTCGATGGCATCAGCAGCGGAGATCGCGCCTGCGGCGCAGGCGAAGACCGAGAATGACGACGAGGAAATGACTGGCGAGTCGGAGGCAGAGACAATCCCTGCGGCGAAGGCGGAGCTCCAGGCCGCAGCTCAGACGCTCGACGCGTCCACGGAGTTGGGCGGCAGCGGGGCCGCAGACGCGACCCAGCCAGAGGCGGTGAGTGGCAGCGAGGCTGCAGGCGCGGGAATGGCCGTGGAGGCGCCGAGCGGGGCCGCAGGCGCGGCAGAGGCGAGCCCGGTGAGCGGCGCCGAGGCCGAGGCAGTGGCAGACAAGGAGACGCCCTCGCCGACGCGCACCCCTGTGCGCGACCTGCCCTCCCTCGGCGACGTCGGCCAGGTCGGGGCGGGGCTTCCTGGGCTGCCGCCGATCGAGGGGCCCTTTGAGGGACAACCGCAGGAGGGGCCGACGCTGGAGGAGAAGTCCCCGCGCAAGAGCATCGAGCAGGCGGACGAGCCCACGACGCCGATCCGAGGCCAAGCGGGGAGGGGGGTGGCAATTTGGGAGGAGGGAGGGTTCGACGAGGAGAGGTGGCAGATGGGTTCTGACAACGAGGATTGACGAAGAGAAGAGTAGAGGAGAGAAAGAGAGAGGAGAGAGGACAGGAGAGGCGAGGCAGACTCACAGGAGCCGACGACGAGGGCGCCACGAGGAGAATGCCAGAGGCCTCCTCCTCCTCCTCCTCCTCCTCCTCCTCCTCCTCCTCCTCCTCCTCATCCTCATCCTCCTCCCCTCCTCATCCTTCTCATTCCTCCTCCTCCTCCTCCTCCTCCTCCTCCTCCTCCTCCTCCTCCTCCTCCTCATCCTCATCCTCCTCCTCCTCATTCTTCTCGCCATTCACGCCCCACTCCTCGTCCTCCTTATCTTCCTCCTCCTCCTGCTCCTCCTCAATTTCATCCTCAGTCTAATTCTCGTCAGCGCCCGCGTCGCGCCATAGGCCTGGACGAGACGATCGACGTGCACGCCAATGGCTTGCTCGCCAGCTGCGACACGCCCGAGAAGGTTTCCAGGGTTCTGCTCAGCAAGTTTCAGGGCAGTGCAGCAGGACACTCGCCGCCGCCGCGAGAGGGTGCTAGGAAAGGAGAAAGGCACGGAAGGAGAGAAAGGTTGGCGGGTCGCCTCGCAAGTGACGGACGAACGCTGAGGAGGATGGACGCGAGGCAGGAGATGAGAGGTTGAGGGGAGCGCCCACGGTGACGAGAAGGAAGGGGGAGGAGGGAATGATGATGAGGAGGAGGAGGAGGAGGAAGAGTAGGAGAAAGAGGAGGAGGAGGTGGAGGAGACAGAAGACTGGAGCACACATCGGCGCCTATACACCAGGAGACCTCCGAGAAGCCACAGCCCAAGGGCCCCATGTTTCAGAGCTGCGCCCAGCCCAGGCAAGGAGGCCAATCGAGGCCAGAGAGCCTCCATGGGGCTCTGATCTTCGAAGCCCTTCGACGCCTTAAGACATCCCTGTCGCTCTCTCTCCCTCCATCTCCCCCTCTCTCGCTATCACCTTCGCTCTCTCTCGCAATCCCGCTTCCTCCCCCCTTCTCCCGCTCCTCCTTTCCTGCCTACTCCCCCACCTGATCCCCCCCTGAATTCTCTTCACAGGCGTAGTCGTAGCCCCCCCCTTCTGGCCATGCTCGTCAAGTCGTCAAGGCCCTATGGGTCCCAAACCAATCAGTTCACGTTTCGCGTCGTAGCTCGGGGGTCTTAGTGCACTCAGGGCCCAGTTTGTTTGAGCGGCCATCGAGTCTAAGTTAGGTCAGCGTTGCGTCTCAGTTAATTGGCCCTCTGGGGCAACAAGCAGAACTGACCATTCAACGACGCCGCACCTCCGCCTCCACCTCCGCCTCCACCACATCCACAGCTGCCATTTGGGCTCGAGCGGTTTCGAGCGGCAGCCAGAGACCATGGCTACGGCACCAGTAGACGCAGACGCTGGCAGCGGCGATGGCGCCGATGACGGTGCCGACGCGAGGAAGCCCGCCGCAAAGAAGGGCAAAGCCAGGAAGGGCAAAGCCTGGCACAATGATCAGGAACGGTTGAACGATGAGCTGCAAGCAGCGGTGCCGATAGACGCCGTCGGCCTCCTACCGTACCGTGAGGAGTACACGGGGCCGCGGGACGAGGCGACGCTAGTGGCAAACTTATGGCTGCGAGACGTGCCGAGAGGAGTGCCGCAGTCGAACATGGCGGCAGCTCTGCTCAGTGTGGCGACTTGTCGGGAGCCAGAGTGGAGGCTGGCATCCGAGAAGGACTCGTGGTCGAAGAACCAGGCGAAAAGGGTCCGAGCTGCTGTTCGTGACATCGGCCAGGCGGTTCTGAAAGGAAAGAGGGACATATCGAAGTGCCCCGCCTGGGTGAAGTTGTTCATGACGCAGGATGAGTTGGAGGAGGCGCAGATGGCCGCAGGTGCTGGCGACGAGGACGATGAGATTCAAGACGGTGACGGCGGCGATCTAGAAGAGGCAGCGCATGAGAACCCAGCAAGTGCCTCGGCCCCATCAACAGCGGCAGCATCGACACCCGCTGCGGCTCCAACGGCACCTGTGGCTCCTGATCCAGCAGCAGAGGCGGCGAAGGAGGAGGCACCAGTAGTGATGGCGACGCACCTCGACGAGTACAGGTTCTCTTTTCACGCTGAGACTATGGTCAGATGGCTCAACGTTAGGAATGCACGTTCAGTGGAGGGCTCACTGGCACTCACTGTGGC